GGGCCGGGGATTCGAACCTGCCACCCTGGGTGTACGTGGCTGGCGCCTTAGCCGGTTGAGCCACAGGCGCCGAGCCAATCTGCCCACATTTTGATAGTAAAAAGTGGTGTCCTTTGCCTGAAGTTAAGTTCTTCCTATTTAATTCCTAAGAGGAAGAAGTTGATAGAAAACATTCTTCCAGGACCAAAGTTGGGACATGGCACATCTGAGAGCCAATGCCCTGAAGTCCCACTTTGAGGATGACTAGCAGACTCTCTCTAACCTCAGACATTATTCTTACCTGGTCCCCAAGACAAAGTGTGGCCAGGAGTGTCAAACTCCGCCAGCACACGGATACCCCGAAGCCGCGCGTATTCAATTACCTCCTTCACATCCTGCGCCGTGTAGATGTGGGTGACAGGGTTGTAGGAGCCCTGAAAGGCACAAGACAATAAAGGCCAGCACAATAAAAGATACTCAGTATACCCAAAGGACTCCCCAGGTATCAGAAAACCTGCCCATAGCCCTTTGCTATGAGGGACTATTTTTAAGAAACTTTATCATAACATCATAATATTCCACAAGTTATCAAATCTGTTTTACCTGAATATCATAATGCCAGGGAGATAAACAAGGTAGTTATTATGCCCATTTAACAGAATATAAATAAATAAAAAGAAAATCAGACCAGGTCACAAAGCAAATCGATGGCAAAGTTTGGACTTAAATTCAAGTCTCCTGACTGCAAATCTAGTGAGTGTTCTTTGCCTACGTCAATATGCCTGTCTAAAACTGGCTGTTTAGAATAAGAGCCATCGTTCCTGCCAGCAAAGCCAGGCTCAAACATCAGCCTATAAAGTTCGTCTGGGAAAAACTGGGACATACCTTTCTGGTGAGCTCTGGAAAAGTGAAGCTCTCATATGGGAAGGAAGGGTCGTCAACCAGATGCCAGTGAAACACATTCAATTTGTTATACGCCATGACATCCTGTGGGTCAGAGCACACACCGTGAACCCATCACAGCCTCTCCAGTTTCAGCCTCAAACCCAAAAATCTGGGCAGGCTGCTCCACACACCTCAACAGGCTCTTCCTGCCCAGCTTCCAGGGAAGCGTTCATAGGGTCTCTCTATCAAACCTTCCCACCATGGAGTGCCTGACATGGGGGGGAAGACCCAGCACATTTCTTCTTTTTCTTGGACATATGCAGAGATGGCTGACAGAGTGGTCTTTCCTCTTTTTGAGATGAATTCTGGCCAGATTGAGAGGAGGGCTGCAGCTACCACGGTACAGTGGAGTCTCCCATACCCCTCCAACAGCCTCAAGATCAACACTTCTTCCTGCCATTTGTGGTGGGTTCTATAAGCTAGTTTGTTTGTTTGTTTGTTTTTTAAAGACAAGCATGAAATGAGGAAGAGGAAGATAGTTTACAGAGTAAGAAAACTTAGAAAGCAGGATACATTTGCCATAGACAACGAATGGGCCTCCACTGCCAGGACAAGTAGACAAAGAGGTCAGGTTATATGAAGTGTGAGGCTGGCTGAAAACTCAGTAGCCCCATAACTTAACATCTCAGAAGCCAAGGCTGAGAATGTGTTGACTCCTTTGGTTCTACCAGAGAAGCAAAGGAAAAAGCACATTATTTGGGGGTTTGAGGCTGAAACTGGAGAGGCTGTGATGTGGAGCATCAAATGACAGAGAAGATTGCACATCAACCTCAGGAGAGTAGGAACTTCCCTAGCTAAGGCTTTGACCATCTCTCTCCTATGACTTTGTCCTGACTGAAATCAGCTCTATGTGGCCAACGAAGCCAAATGCCCAAAATGCCTTTTGTATCCCTGGAACCAGCCTAAACACTGGTCCACAGTAGCCAGTGGGGTAGATTTAAGTCACTCTTGTTATTTTTGAGTCTTGGAGCAATTCACCTTCTATGTTTCCCCAAGAGCTGAGCTATATGCATTCCCTCTTTAAGTCTTTAAGAATATGGAAGTTGGCCGGTCCCCTACCCCATCACCCCAGAACCCTAAGTGCAATAAAGGCCTGAAGGCCTGGGTACCAGAGTGTCCAGGATGATAGAAAGAGGCAGGTAATGGCGAGATGTATCCAACAGCAAGCCCCGGTGAGGGAAGCGGGGGAAGTCCTCGATCTCAGTCTTGTTGATATAGAACTGTGTGGACAAAACAGAAGACGTCAGGACTCAAAGGGAGCTTCCTATGAGGGTACAGGGGGATGAGGAAAACTCTTCCAACATCTCTGAAAGTCCAACTGTGACTATTCTCGGGTAATTATCTTGCATAACAACCACCTTCTCAGAGAGGAACTCTCCCATGTCAGCCAAATACAACTGTCCCACACAATACTCAGCCTACAAAGTCTGGATTTTCCTGACTGTTACCATGTTTATTTTTTTCAAAACAGTGTGGCCTCAAGGTCATTACTAAATAATGACTCAGGGGAACCAGATTACAGTAATTCCAAACAGATCAAATCTACCAAACAAGTTTTCCATCCACATCACCTCCTACACTCCTGCTGGGGCTATCTCAAGCTACTAGGGGTCTAAGGCAAAACAATATTTTTCCAGGGTCCTTCACATTGGAACAAAAATCCAGAGATAGAAAACTGGGAGCTACACGACGGGCACATATGGGCATGAAGAGATATACATGTCACAGGAAACCAAGAAGGGGTGAGGATGGGAAGGAGTAAGGGGTAAAAACTTACCTATCAGGTACAACGAACACTATTCTGGGAATGGCCATATTAAAAGCCATGACTTAAACATTATATAAGGTATCCGTGTAGCAGAAACATTTGTACCCCCTTAATACTTAAAAATAAAAATCAATCAATCAATGAATAAGAAAACCCCAGATATTAGAAAAACCCCACGCTCACCGTGCCCTCAGCAGATTTCCAAACAAGCTGGCTAAAAGTCTCCAGACCTATGAAGAAGGAGAGAGTAAAGACTCAGAAAGTAGAGAGAGAGAGAGAAACGTGCCCATTCATAAGGTTTCCGACGTGGCAGAGCATAACATTTGGGTACATGGCGAAAATGGCTATAGTACAGGTGTGATGATTCTGAACACTTATGAAAAAGAGATACCAGGAAGCCCATATCCATTTTTATGCTTTATTTTTATTTTGGGAGGTGGTAGAAAAAAAGGCTTTGATGTTCTTCAAAACCCATATACTTCTTACCCATATTTCCTAAGCCTTGAACTCATAAGAATGTTAAAAAGAAAGGCCAAGATGCATGTTCATGAGAGCAGATGCAGGAACAAGCCAGCCTGCAAACGCTAAGGCTTTCCAGGGATAAACCTATTGGGAGCTGAGAAAGCTGAAAAAAGGGGCCCCCTCTCTTCTCCCAGATTGAACTGCGAGAAAGTGATCATAAGCCTGAGATTCTAAGAAGCCTGGGTCCATAGCTAGGCCTAAAGGACAAAGAATTATCCACTCTTCCTCTTCAGAGTTTGAAAGAGCTGTAGGGAGCTGAGGTGTGGTGGGCAGCAACTGCCCCAGAAGGACGGACACAGTCCCCTAGAGTCCAGAACAGCCCAAGCATAGCCCAAGCACAGGTATGATGGGTCCAGAGCATTACAAGTTATCAACAGCTAGAGGCCTACTTCCAGAAACCCTAGAAGTTTGCAAGGGGCTTGAAGGATACCCAGAGGCCCCAAATTTCAAAATGAAAGAATCCATGAGACCTCAGTGGCCACTCAGTATCTAATCTGAAGCAGACTGCTAAGTGTACTGTTTTGGCCTCTCCCTACTCTGACTGTGACACCCAGCATTCTGGACTCCCAGATTCCCCCACCCCCCACCTTACTAGTCATGAGCCCCTGCATACAAGGTACAAGAGGGAAGAAAGGGGAGTCAGCATGCTGTTGCTCCAAAGCATAGAGGGGCAAGGTATAACAACCAAAGCAAGGTGTGGGATTCTTTGGGAATTGCCTGCCTCATTTCCCAACAGAGGTTTTACCAAAAGTAGTAGAGATGCTTGGCCAAATCTGTATCCAGCAAACAAATACCCTTGCAGAAGAGGAAGGGTAGGGGCCTATAATCTGCTCACCTGTTAGCTAATAAATTCCTCATTTTCCCGAGAAATAATATAATTCTACATATTTTACTACTACTTATCTTTTTAACTTTTTTTTTTGCATTTATCTATTTCCTTTGTTATAGCTTTCTTTTTAAAAGAAGCTTTCCAATTATGTGTCGTTAGTGAGAGCTGGACAGACAGTGTTGATGATAGTTTTCTCCTCCTCTTCCCACAGAGCACCTGCCCAGGGCAGCTGCTGCCACCCCATAGGATGAAATCTGTTAACTTCTAGGGACAACTATAAGGAGAGGGGGGCCAGGCACAATGGCTCATGCCTGTAATCCTAGCACTTTGGGAGGTCAAGGCAGTGGACTGCCTGAGCTCATGGGTTTGAGACCAGCTTGAGCCAGAGCCAGACCTCAACTCTAAAAAGAGCCAGCATTGTGGCAGGTGCCTATAGTCCCAGTTGCTTAGGGGGCTGAGGCAAGAGAATTGCTCGAGCCCAGGAGTTCGAGGTTGCTGTAACGCCACAGCACTCTACCAAGGGCAACAAAGTGAGACCTTATCGCAAAAAAAAAAAAAAAAAAGAGAGAGATGGGGAAAACAGTCCAACTGGACTCCGTAAAGAAAGCTTCCTAAAGTAAGGATACTCACTAGACTCCAAGTTCTGTTCCCGCACCCCACCAACATTCTCACATCATCCTTCTCTCTCTGTTTGCATCAGCCCCACCTTGTTACCTCGGAGAGCCCCCCAGGCAGTCTGAGAGAGGAGTAAACATTCGTCATCATTTATGGTCAGGGTATCTGAAATGACAGAAATGACTCCATTTAATCAAGGTTTGTTTACGCTAAGATTGGAGACCAGATGTTCTGTGTAAGTCCTTCTATGTAAAAAACACCCAGCAAGATCATGTATCATTTTTTTTATCTTTCAATAAGAAGACATCCCAGAGTAGGACAGCTGCAGGGTGGCCAGGCCTGGGGCCAGAGTGTGGAGGGTGGACACCACAGTGGCTCTGCAGACCCTGGAGATTGATACCTGATTAGAGTGTCAGGCTGGAGCATAGTCCTCTGCAAAGCACCATCTACCCCACGGGCCAATTTTCCCCAGCAGAAACATGAAATCCTACCAGCTTTTAGCTGAAAGTATGAAGTCTCCTATTGGCAAAGGGACTAGGGATGCTTTCAGGGGAGTCCAGGACATGATGCTCCCAAAGCCTTTGTAATCACCCTCCTTTTCTTTTTTCGTAAAGCTTCAGCTACTTCATCCAAGAATGTCAGGAAGAAGCCAAGACTGGAATTTTCACTTTGGAGACGGAGAAGTGCCCAAATGCTGCTGCTCAGGGGAGATAGGAGCCAATCACAAGACTAATGACTCAGCATCATCTCATTATAAACCATGGAAACAGCCTTCTCTCTCCAACATAGGAGTTCTTAGAGAAAGTCAGCAAAGTATACACTTTACTAAGGTGGAAATGTACTCAGTCCAGAAAGCTGGCATCCTGTGGCACTCAGTAAATAGCCAGTGTGATACTCGGAAGCCAACCTTCTGACACTGGTTAAGCTTATCCATGGGAAAGACCTATCCTCTATGGCTCTCAGTACTTGGTTCCCATGGTTATCCCTTGGTTCCCAGGCCACCCAAAGTTACAGCTTCAGATAGGCGCCCTTTCTTGGACAGGGCCAGGGAAGTACTTACAATTCTCTGCTGATTCCAGAGTAGGAAAGTGGTTACATCCTGCTGTGACCACAGAGACAACCAATATTTTCTTTGCCAATGCATGTCGTTTTCCTGCAAAGACAGGGTAAACTCAGTATGGGTAACCTGCCATCAGAATAGGCAAAACCAAGGCCCTGCAGAAGGGTCCCTAGCTCTAGTCCCTCAGCTCACACACCTGTGGTGAAAGGAAAGGGAGGGCATGGCATTTACCCTTGGCATAGGCATTGCCCAGTCATCTGTCAACTTTTTTATTCCAGTTGTGCTCCCTTTCTCCCCAGTATCCATGTGACCCATGTAAGAATGATCTGAATGACAGCTCTTCTTAACCAGGCTGTGCATTTCTGGCTTCCCATGGACTATAGCAAGCACACAGTCCCAAGCCCTTGACTACACCTCTGTACAAGTGGCAGACTGGTCACCCAGAATGAGCCAACATACTGTCTCATACAGCCTACAGACACCAGTCTATGCAGGAAAAAATGTCAAAGCCAAAATACTAACACCCTCTCTTTTCCTATCCTCCTCCTGGTTCTTCCCTATGATTTCCTGGGTGGTTCTATTTTTACTGCCCTGAGGAAGCTTATATGACAACAGAATGTAAATCAATTATGGTGGAGTAAACATACTGTCTGTGTTCTAAAACTTTTTTTATGATAGGATTTTCTCAATGAACAGTTTTACATCCTGGTGCATATGCTTCTTCACCACAGACTGGCACTGTAGGGCTCCAGATGAAGGGTTTCCAACTTTGTAAAAGCCCAGGAGCTAAGGTGAGCAGGTGACGGGAAGCTCTCCCACACGGAAAAGGCCTGAGGTAACGCAGCTGACACCTCAGAGAAAGCACATGGTCACCAGCCCATCCTGTTTCTTCCCTTCCTCTTCCCAAGGTAGATTTCTGTCAAGCAGGGGAAAACACCTAGAATGACAGAACGAGTCAACATACTGTCTAACATAGCTCTACAGACCCCAGCTCATGCAGAAAACGTGCCAAAGCCCTCTCCCTTCCTACCCTGCTATTGGTTCTTCCTTGGGATTTTCAGGGTGGTTCTGCTTTTCTTGCTCCAAGCCTAAACGTAATGAGCCCCTCTCTATTCTCCTCTGGAGCCATAAGCATCCCACTGGCACCCAGCATCCATGACTTCCCATGGGACGACAAAGTCAGGGGTAGCACAGCCCAGCAGAAGGCAGGGAGAGACAGTACAGAACCAAGATGGAATCCCAAATGCAACCCATGTCCAGGCAGAAGGAAGCCAAAAGCCTCAGACCATCTCAGGGAAGCCTGTTCAAACCTCCAGAGCACTAGCACACATTGCACCCCAGCTCACAGGTGTGCCAAAAAGAAACCTAATAAGACTTGGTCCTTTCATACCATCAGGACCAAACACACTCATTCCTCTCCCAGTAAATGCCCTATATCCCCACACCAATACCTGCCTAAACTCTGCAGGGAGAAGGGAATTGGATGCAACTCTGGACCAGGTCAACTCACAACCCTATCTTAAACCCTATAAGCACCCCTCCCATCAAGCAAAACGATAAGCAGGCTTTCATGGCTGAAACCACTCTCAAATCAGAATCTGTAGGCTCATTCCAAGATCTCCAAGTGGACAGGCTATCTCTGCAAATCCATCTATACAGAGGACCTCTACAGGAAGACCGAGGAGGACTTGTCCTAGATGGGAAGAAAAACTATACACCATTTTGTCTCCTTGTCCCCACCCCCACTCTACAGGGCATGGGGCCCTATTATCATGTGCGGAGAGCTCCTCTGAATGTCTATCCAGGCAGCATCCAAAAGAGGGCAAAAGTCCTGGGCTTTAGTGTTAATCCTCTGGGCCTCAGTCTGCCAAATAAGGCGAAATTACAACTGTGCAACCACCATGGCTCCCTGCCCTGATGACAGAACATGAAGGCTACACAAATACCAGGTTTATCTGAACTACTGCTTGTAAGACAGGAAAATACCTAATTCTTTAGCTGTTATTGTATTTTTCAAAACACACCTGCACTCCATTCCCTAAGTCTGCAATTGTTTGCAGTGGTTCTCAACCTTCCTAATGCTGCAATGTATTTTCATTGTTACAAAGGGGTCACAACCCACAGGTTGCAAACTGCTGGTTTAGAGGGAGGGTCACAGACTCCTCTGAAGATCTGCTAAAAATGAAAGCACATTTTTCCCCTCAGAAAAATGCCCTTAACATAAGGAGTCTTTTTCCAGAATTACAATCCCTCCACTCTCTGCCACCAATCTCACAGTAAGAATCCCTGTCCTAAGTGCTCCCAGTGATTTCTCTGTGTTTGGGTCAAAGAAGTAGACAGAGAGCCCTGGCTGCTGCTTAAACAAATTAGAACAGGGAAGGTCTGGGGGAGGCAGCAACATGAGAGCTGGCAAAACAGGATGGGCACTAGGTCATTTGAAAGGATGTAAATAAAGCATCATCCTTGTGCTTTTCCACCTCCAAGTTGCTCCTCCACTGAGCTCAGAAGAGAGCAGGAAACAGGCAGGGACAGTGCAGCTGCCTCTATACACACCCACGTACTAACTGGAAGTGCTGAGTATGGGAAGCGTGGTATGGCAAACAGCCGGGTCAGCCAGCAGTATCACGGGCACAGGCACCACGAGCTTGGCTGGGAAAGCAGGAAGTTCTGAAGCCTCTAGTGCACAGGAGGAAGCATGGGGAACAGAGCAGTGGACTAGGCAATCAGGAAAGATGGGTTTGGTCTGGTTCTGCTGCTGCCAAGCTGAGTGAGTCTTGGGGCTCCCATTTCCTTCCCTGTAAACAACGGCAGGGTGGGACCAGATTCCAGATACTCCTCTTCAGAGGTATCCTCCGGACAGATAATACACTCCAAGGACTCATTCCACAACCACAGCCTCCTACCACTGCAGGCAACTCATGTTCCCCCTTTCATATAAACCTACTCTGAATAAACCTGGGTTTATTTGTATATATATATTTTTTGTATATATATTTTTTAAATTAAAAAAGTAGTACAGGCAGGGCGTGGTGGCTCATGCCTGTAATCCTAGCACTTTTGGAGGCCGAGGGGGGTGGATCACCTGAGTAGCTTGAGAAAGAGCGAGACTCTGTCTCTAAAAACTAGCCAGGCATTGTGGCAGGTGCCTATAGTCCCAACTACTTGGAAGGCTGAGGCAAGAGGATCTTTTGAGCCCATGAGTTTGAGGTTGCTGTGAGCTATGATGCCATAGCACTTTACCGAAGGCAACAGAATGAGACTGTCTCAAAAACAAAAACAAAAAATTAAAATTAAAAAACATAATAAATGGCTCGGCACCTGTGGCTCAAGTGGCTAAGGCGCCAGCCATGTACACCCAAGGTGGCGGGTTCGAATCCAGCCCAGGCCCGCCAAACAACAATGACGGCTGCCAAAAAATAGCCGGGCATTGCAGCAGGCGCCTGCAGTCCCAGCTACTTGGGAGGGGGAGGCAGGAGACTCGCTTGAGCCCAGGAGTTGGAGGTTGCTGTGAGCTGTAATGCCACGGCACTCTACCCAGGGGGACAGCTTGAGGCTCTGTCTAAAAAAAATAAAAATAAAAATAAAAACAATAAAAAAGTAGTATACACACTAACTGAAAAAAGTCAAACAGAAGAGAAGTGTTTACAATAAAAAAAAAATATCTCTGGCATCCTTCCTTGGTCCCCTCAGTGAAGCGATAACGTCACTTTAGTTTTCTACCCTTGCAGTTCCTTTTTAGTGTAATTTTGCCTTGTTCATCAGAGACAGGTCATCTCTGGAAATGGAATTCTCAGAACAAGGACCTGCTTACTACCAAGTCCTACTGTGGAACTTTCTTCAGACTCTAGTATGTGACCCCTCCATTGTCCTTCTGTTTTTAGCCCTCTCCCACTCTCACTTCCTTCCCTGCTGGCCTTGAGGTGGTTGGTGCCCATCACTCAAATGCACTCTAGCCATACTCTCAAGAACCTGTCTCGTCTCTTCTGTTGCAAACAGTGGGCAACACCTTAAACCCTGGATCAATCTGACATCTGCCTTCTGTGCCCCTGACCCTGGTTACTGTGGCCTATTGAAAGGAAAGGAGAAAAACACAGCACAGCAGGATTGGGCCACTTTAAAATCATGGTCTCTCATCTTGGCAGGGCCCCTGATACTGCCCTGAAAATCTTCCATCTCCACCATCACTTTTTTCTATTTTCTCCAACAGCTATTTCCCATCTGTACCATTTTCCTCAAGTCTATACCCGATCACTACCTCCCTTACTGTCAACAGAAAGAATTCTCACCCACCCCTACTTTCTTCCCCCGCCCCCCTAACAAAAATGTTTGCAACAAACTCCTGTCTTGACTTTTCCCACCCCCATCTTGATGGACCGAGTTTCCTTTCAGCTGTGCTTTGGATCTCTCCTCAGTTTTCTCTTGTATGAATTATGTTCCCTTTCCCCAAAGTCTTCAAATTGTTTTTTCCTACTGATTCCTTCCCATTAGCATAAAAATGTTTGCAATCTTCCTCTCAACTGCATGTCATCTCAAACATTGATTCTTTATTTTGTCTCCCTGTCACAAAGAAAATGTAGAGGAAATGGGACCTGGGCAGCAAAAACGCTGAATCTTGAGGGCAGAAAGACCTGGATTCGGATTCAGATTCAAATCTTGGTTTTAATACTTTCTAGCTGTGGGACCCAGGCTGAGTTATTTATCCTCTCTTGAGCTGCAGTTTCCTCATCTGTAAAATGGGAACCTATTTGATTGGCTACTGGAAAGATTCAACAAGTGAATCCAGGCTTAGTTCAGTGCCGAGAAGTGCTCGTAGAGTTGGCCATCCTAGCTCCTCTTTTTGTAGCCACTTCCTCGCATCCTATCCCTCAATCCACTACAATCTGGCTTCCTCCACCTCCCATGGTTCTCTAAGTAGATTCAAGGAATCCTTTCCAGTTCATTCATTCAACAGTTAATTACTGAATGCTTACTATGACCAGGGTGTTTCTAAGTGCTCAAGATACAGCAGTGAGCAAAACAGACAAAAACCCCTGCTATTAGAGAGCTACTATTATAAACCAGTCACTCCTTCTGGGACTTCTTGGCAGCATCAG